TCAGTTTTCTGCAGTTATGTCAGTTTTCTGCAGTTATGTCAGTTTTCTGTCCTTTCTTCTCTGAATCTATTTAAATCAGGACAGCATTTTCCATAGTTGGCAATATAAACAATTTTTATAGTAATATATCAAAAAGGATAAAAGTTCAAAGTAGCTTAAAGAGAGATGGAAAAGAAGTAATAGAATTTGACTCACAGAGAAGTAATAGAATTTGACTCACAGAATTAAAGTTAACATCAGGCTTTGTGAAGTCAACTGTTTTTCGTATTGAATTTTCTCCAAATATAATCTAAAAGCGCTTGGGCTATTTACAAGTATTTGTAGTCTTCAGAATTGGTTTTGGGATATTTTTACTTTATTTTTGGTCTAAGCCTGATGATAGACGTCTCTTTTGCTGTTGTTCTTTATCTGTCAGCCATACTAGGAGCCTTTTTGACTGAAAGGTATGAGATGTTTTATATAAAGAAACTCATAAACCATAAGCCCCAATTTGGAATACTTTTGTTACAACATTAGGATAAGTTTGAAAATTGTATTTGGATAACTGTTCATTAGTTTAGAAGCAAAACTAGACTACTGAAAGTTAACAAGGTAGCCTCTACAAACTTTAAACAAAACACAGGTAGAGATATTTTTCAATTTTAAAACAAATCCTTTGTTTAGAGCTACTTGATTTTCAGAGATGGTGGGTGCTGTTAAACTAGTTCTACTGGAGTATTTTTCTTCTTTCAAAACACAGATGAACATCCTGTTTGATTAGCAGGTAGAATGGGGGCATAGGATTTTGTCTGTATACTTTTCACGAGGTCTATCTGCGCATGGCAGGATGCAACCCTGTATGTAAAATCACTTAACATCTGTAGAACTCGTCGCAGCCCTTCTATGAACCTGGATTACAGGGTGAATGTAGAAAAAAAAGAACAAAATGGCTAAAAAGAGATGTGGATGGTTTAAGAGCGCGCGTCATATCCAGACCACAGCCACATCCGCCTTAACACGCAGGTTTCCTTTAGCTGCAGATTTCCTACTGTCCCATCTCATTTCTTCAAAGATCACTTTAAAAAAAATGGTTACTCATAATTGATTACTTTAAATTTATTTTTTTAAAAATAAGTTACTCTTATATTCTTATAAGCTCTCCCCTGTCCTTGCATATGGCAGAATGGGTAATTCAGTCCCATGGAGTGTTGTAGAAAGGTCAAGAGGGACAATGTTTGCTCTTTCTTGCGATTTTCTCACTCGGTCTTCTCATCTATTTATTCATTCCCTTTGTCCTCCGTTCCTCTTCAGGAAGGTCCCCTTCGTCGGCTTAAACGCGGTGAACAAGTGAAATGGCGACCAGGCGGCTTACGGTTCCTTATATTCAACTTCCCATCTTGCTTCCTTCATTTACCTATTACTTTAATTGGCTGTTCGAGGGCCTTTCACAAGCGGCCTTTGCCTGCCCAGGGGATGCCATCTCCACAGCGGGCGCCATGAGGATAATAGCTGTCAAGGATGATTTATGGGAGGCAAGAATTGCCTTGCGCTACTAGTTTTATAGCCGTCAAGGGTGTCGTTTTTATTTTTCTCCCAGGACATGCCGTAAGTATTCGAGTCTGCCCCTGAACTTAAGTTTCAATCTCAAGAGTGTGCCCGGCTCGGAGGATGGCAGGCGCGCCTCCGAGCACGGAGGACAAAAAGCCGACGTCTCGTTTAGATCTGAACAACAAGGCCGCCTATTACCTCAGCGACCTCGCCTAGCCAACACTAACCGACTTCGCTCGAGAAAACCATCGCGTCCCTCCCGTCTCCGCCCCGCCCCTTATTCCCGCCCCGCCCATTCGCGGCATCCGGGCAACCGATTCGCACGCCCTTTTGCCACTCAAAGGAAGAAGGGACCTAAGAACAGGCGGAGCCGGCTGAGTCGAATAACCCGGTTTTCATTGGTTCGGGAGCGATCCGGAGGCGGCGCCGGCGTTGGAACAGCCCCCTTCCCCCCCCCTCCCCGCCACTCTCCTCAGAAACCGGCTTTGCGCTTTTCAAACGCCAACCGTGGACGTGACGGGAGCGAGCGAGCGAGCGAGCTGAGGGGCCGCCGTTGCCGAGGAAGAGGGACCCGCGGAGCGCCTCGTGTGCGCCGAGTTGGGAGGCTGTCTCGCGGATGAGGGTTGCGCGCGGGTGCTGCGCGGGGAAACCTGAGGCTGTGGAAGGGAGCGGAGACAGCACGCTGGCCGGATTTGCAAGCGAAGACAAGCCCTGAATGCTGACTCGAGCGCGGTACGGTGTACTTTCTCGGGAGAGCTTTTATTTCCCTCTCCATTTCGTATTTTGTAAGAGCGGGTCGTGCCTTGAACGGGGGGGGGGGGGGGGGGGG